ATGAGTTAAATGCAATGCAAGAGATGATGTTACAATTGGTCATGTCCCTTTTTTGGGATTTCTCAAAGTATCACCTCATACATGAACGCTTTTATTAGTCTTTAGAGGTTTGTATAGTGACTTTAGAAACACGTGAAAAAGACTGAACTAAGTACTACAAAATTATGGAGTTATACCTTTAAACCGTCTTCCATCATTTTTGTGATGTTTGTTCTTATTTGAATTTCCTAAGAATGATGAGATGAATGAGAGGCGGATTGATTTTTTTATTTATTTTTTTGTAACATGGAGAGGTGAGAATTTCCCACAACACCCGCCTCTATAGTGGCTATTTACACAGAGTAGTTTTGCAAGCTTTAATCACAGACAACTGCAAAGCACAGATAATCTGCTGTTACTGCTGAATGAAGCTGAACCGATTACCTCTCTCCCCAGCTTTAATTTGTACGCACAGGTCAAAGTCTATAGGAAAAAAAAAAAAAAAGCTTAGTAGTTATATGGTATTTTGAAAATGTTCCCTGTTTTTCCTCAAACTTGCCTCCTTATTCACTCATATTCAAAACTGTTGGAGGTGCTGGTTTGAATGGCCGTACTAGTCAAAGAGAAAAACTTACCAAGATACACAAGGTTGAGATGCAATGAATCTTACAAACTGAGGTCACACTTTTAGGCACTCTTTTCAAATGCATTCACGGTGCTGCAATCTGTTGTGCAAAGGAAAAATGGCAGAATTGACTGTGTGAAGAAATCTTGAAAGAAGATTTCTCACCTCAGCACACTCAGCCAATCACTGCGTGAAGTGCCCATGTTTGTGGAAATGTTAGTTTCAGACAGTTATAAAAAAAAACAAAAAAAAACTGTCAGTTGCAAATCCAATTCAGCTGTCAAAAAGGTGCAAGCACTATGTGTGAAGCACCACTGATGCTCCTACGCAAGCACTATATTGCCAAATGCTTCTTTCACCTGCCAACAATGAGCTTCACCTGGAGGGCACACGAGGTTCACCCTTCACCTGATTTGCTCCGTAGTAGTATTGTATTGGTGCCATCTTGAAAATGCTAAAGTCTTGAGTATATAAGTAGTAAACAGCTGGCAGATATAGATGAAAAACAATTTCTCAGAATGAACATGATCGTGTGAAAAAGGTTGAATAGCAGCCCTGGGTTTCCAAAAACTGTAGGTAGAAGAAGAGAAGGCATACAGTTGGGCAGGAAAGATGTAGCCACTTAGGGTAAATATCAATGAGCCCTCTACTGTGGCAGACCTAAAGTCCGGTGGGAAATTACACAGCATGGTTATTGGCAACTTAACCGCCATGAAGGACAATGGTCTTCCTTTTCAATTAAACTGAATTAAATAAACACACACCCTCTCTCTCTCTCTCTCTCTCTTTCATCCTGTGGCTGTACTGAGGCTCAGTGACCCGTCAGCACTGTGCATCAATCAGCATGTGTGCAACGGTGGGCGTTATATTAGTTGAATTAATATAACATTTTGTGAATCTTGTTAAACTGGATTTATCACAGTCCAACTGGAATCCATCACAGTCCAACCTACAAAATAGTTTACAAACGCTTGCTGCCTATATATACAGACATTTGTCACAAAAGACAGAACACATTCATCTGGAAACATTTGGATTTTTTTACAAGTTTGCATCTGTTAGTTCATAAATTGTCATCTGTGGTACTGTTGGAATTATTGCAAAAGCTTTTAAAACCTTGCTTAATAAATATCTTAAATGATGAACCTGATGTGTAAGATCTAATGTAGGCGCTTCTTGAATACAAATGCAGTGTGTGTGTGTGTGTGTGTTCCATAATGTCATGTTTAAACAGAGGTTATGATTCTAATTTTGTGTTTGTCTCATACTAAACTGTGTGCATCGTCAGACAAAAATAAAACAAATGCATTCTGATTAGAAATGAAAAACTCTTTTAAATGATAATTGTATGGATTGAAGCATAAAGGTTATCTAGTAATAACAACTGGGCCTGTGCGAAAAAATATTCACCATCTTAGTTACTCAATGCAAAGCAAGAGGCAAAAACCACTGATAACCCAGAAGCCCAACACACCGTGATGACCCTCCAAATGTTGGCAAGAATGTCTTTGGACTGCTGGGTGGAAAGCTGAAACACAGGGGCTCTGTAACATCTGGCTCAAACCAAACACAGAAGTCCACCGACAGAGCAGTGTACCTCGGGTCAGGCATGGAAGTGGCAGCGTCATGTTGTAGGGATGCTTTGTTGCTTCAGTGACATGGCAATTTGCCCAAATTTTGGGAAACAGTAATTCTGCTCTCTGCTAGATAATCCTGAAGGAGAAAATCAGATAACACACAAACTACTTTGGCCCTGTAGATTGATTGGGCAGGAGACACGACCTTGATATCAAGAGAAGGGAATGTTAAGACACCAGATAAATGTGCATAAAAACGCCACCTGATAACCAGTTATTTCTGTTCGAAAACCATCCACAGAAGACCTACAAACAGTTTTTATAGTCCATCTGATGAGCACAGACATTAAAGATATACAGGAGATTTTCAGTGGAGTAAATTGCAGTCTTCCTGGCTTCATTTTTCCATATTGACGGCAGAAAATTTCTAAGCAATTGTATTTTTACTGACATTGTATGGGGAAATAATCCTGAAAGAGAGACTGATTAATGCACTAAAGTGTACTTGTTGATCTTAGAAAGTCTGCAGTCAGCCTACTCATCGGTTTGAATGACGTGTTCATATTTGTTCTTTACTTGCTTGAAAGAACAGGACGAAAACTGTCAGATGAATACATCGAAACAACAACAATAATTTAATGTAGTGCACAATAGTATATAATCAGAGCTACCTGTGGGGTAGTGAAATTAATAAGTCTCTAACTTGTACACTCACACAGTCAGCATTTTTTATTTTCTTTGTTTTGCCAGCTTTCCTTCCTACTTTAGCCTGTATTATATTTTAAATTCCACATTTTGCTTTAGGAATATAGTTTGATTTTCTTGTGAGAAACATGCAGCTCCGGGACTTTCCATGTTTGCGATTGATCATATGAAACCAGTACCAACGCTTAAATGTGAAGCTAGATTCAGAAATGAAACAAGTTTAGCCTGACTGCAGTTGTTTGGTTAATCGAAGCCAGAAAATGGAAACATATCCTGATTATTTTTAATATGCTTATGGGCCGTCTTTATATATGCTCTATGTGGCAGACCATTACAAATGAACTTGGCAAAAGCTACTGTTGATTTTAACTAATTTCCTCTTCAATACATTACAAACATGCAGACTGGTGTTTTATGTTAAATTATATATATAGAAGCAAACAAGACAGACACATGGTGAGTAGAGAAAAGTAAAAATCTACAGTCTTGCTTCTTTTATTCATCTTGGCAGTGTGTTTTATAGCATCATTTTGTTGACATGCTTTCTTACTTGGTTCAGTTTATTCAGTTTTTAATGGCATACAGCACACCATGGATGTCTTTTGTCAGGTGACGCTATTGTTTATGAACAATTTATATGCAATGTGAATTGACTGCAGGATTAAGGATTGATTGACATACACCATCAATAAATATCATCTTCTGACAGACAAGTGATAATCTAAACATGAGGACCTTATTGAGCTCATAATTCAAAGGCACTTTATCTTAGGCAGAATCATAAGCTGGTCTTTCAGATGTGAGAGGACTATTAAAGAATGCTTCAAGGTTTCGGTCTGTCGATGAAATATTTCTGACAAACTAGTCTCCCAAAATTCTGAGATATGGTAGAAGGGAGAGCCGACATAATTGAACTGTACTTTAAAAAAGAGCACTGAATTGCTCTCCTGTCAGAGCAGCTGCTCTGTAAGCTGTATATCTCTGCACTGCTGGCCCGGAGACAACTATTGTTGATGAAAAATTAAAATGCTAATTGAAGTCATCCGTCTGACAATAGACCAACGGCATGCTTGGTGTTTTAACGGTTTTAAACGGGGACAACGATGTGGACACAAACGGACATTGTCGATGTCTGTCCAAAGCCATTACATGCCCAGGGACAACACGGTGTCTGCATGAATAAAAACTAAGCCTGGCATAAGTCACACACACACTATCGATTGTGGTGTCAGCATGTCACCCTGCTAGAAAGACAATCCATATAAATGCTTAAACAACGTGTTCGTGGAGCTCACGCTGTCACAATCCGGTTTAGACACAGCAACACAGTTCTGCGCAAATGTTGTAGGTACTAAATGTGAAATGTGGATCCCTTCAGCTTTTATTTATCACTGAACTAGTCTGGGCTCCTTGTAAAGCTGCAGAAGGAATCTTTGATTGATTTAACAATCTAAGCACCACACAAAGTGCTAATACTTAAACCTGTGTCCAGTATGGTATATGCAAATATTTATGAGAAACATTACTACTACTACTTATTCTCCTACATAAAATACAAACCCAAAAGAAAGACTGACATGTACATATGCCCCAATGTAATGTGATGGTTTGTTTGTATTTCCTTTTTTCATTACAGCTTTTATTAGCATTAATGTCTTCCATTTCCTTACTTCTCATGTTCTGTATCAATGGTAAATGGCAAATGGTCTGCACTTATATAGCGCTGTTCTACCGCAGTGGTACTCAAAGCGCTTTACAATGTTTTCTCATTCACCCATTCACACACACACACATTCATCGACCATACAACCTTCAATTCTGAACAAAACAACACGTTTTTTGAATGTAGGGTTACCAGTGGTTACTGTTAGCTCGATAGCCAACAAGATACAATATGTAATAAGTTGTTTGTTTGTTTTTAATTTACGAGGAGGTGGAAGAAGTTTTTTTTTGTTGTTTAAGATTTGTTTGCATTAATGTAAATAACTGCCACAGTTGAGTATCTAAACACTAACAAAAATGTCTCATAGTAGTAGGTAAGCAGGAGTTTTCAGGCTTGCCAAAGTGTATGAAGCAGACCACTAACACTGGGTGGATGTTGAACTTGTTCTTACCTGGACCTCCACTCCATAGCCCATGTAAACGGTGATGATGTAGCTGCAGTCCATAGTGGAGTGAAAAGCAGAGCTGGACTGTGGTGGAGCCTCTATGTATCCTTCTGGCCTGGTCAGGTTCAGCTGGCAGGGAACTGCAGGGACAACCACAGCAGCATGGAAATGAGCCTAATGGAAGCAGTGCGGACACACTCACACTGGTACTCCATTCATATTCCATATGCAAGCTGAAGTTGCTTTCATGTGGGCTGGTCATGGACGGTGCTTTTCTCCTCACAATTTTACTTGTGCTAAAAATGAACTGTTATCCTAACCTATGACTTTTTGTATTTTTACTATTCTGATCAATACGAGGAAGTTTGTGATTTTGCAGTATTTGAATGAAATGAACTTGTTGTGACTGTCATCAATGAAAAACACCATCGATCATTTGTGGAAGTAGCTGATTATGACCTATAGCTCAATTTTATTGTTCGGAGACCCCAGCTGTTCTGTGATATAGCATTAGTTGTTTCACCAAATGCCCCAGTATTTTTTTCAATACGGCCCATAGTAATTATAACAGGAGCAAAGGCGTAAGTCATGTGACAAAGTTATCGGGCCACAAACCTGGCATAAGCAGGGGATTGAGATGGATGAATGGGTCAGCAAAACACTGGACTTTCACTATTTTTTGTTTTAACCATGACCATTCCATAACCTTCACTGCACGTTTAATATCGTAACCATGACAACAAATATTCTCTAACAACAACAAAGAAGGCAACTTATTGTAACCCAATCTATTACCTTTACCTAAATCCAACCAAACTTTTCTCGTTCCCAAACATGTTCAAACCTTTGCAATACCATTAGGACATAATAAAGCATAAGATTTATTCTTCAAGGGGGAGTCTGTACAGTTTATCTGTTTTATATCGTTGGCATTAGGAAGTAGTTATAGCATATGAATGTTTCGACTGGAAGACTTGTTAAAGATGTAGCAGTCCCTCGTGAGTCTCCTGTAGTGACACTGTTGTTTGGGCTCTAACTTTCTGATAGACAGTTTGATATAGCTGCAGCAGCAGGAGGTATAGAGATAGTCAGGTGACCTTGGTGGTCAGAGTTTTTTTTTTATGAGATTGTGGTCATCCTTTTTCTAACATTAGTTGACTTGACTGTGACAGATCACAGAGAACCACCTTCATCGTGGGCCTGATTCAGATCTACATACAGGTCACATGTCAATACCAGGTGCAAATGCTTTATTATTGTTTTTCAAAAAGTCAAACTGAGCAAACACACGAGTGTCACCTTTTGTTCACACTGTAGACTGCACTTACAGTACAGTCATGACTTTGAAGGTTTTCGGCCTCTCTTGCTGCCTTCCTAAGCAGCTCAGCCCTGAGATGGGACAGCTGAGGACAGAATATTTCCAAGCGGCCTTCAGGGGGTTTCTGCTCTACCACCTTCATCCCTCTCTGAGCTAAAAAGTAAACTTTTCCTGAAGTGCTTGCCTATGAAGATGAACATCCTCCCTGTGTCCCCTCGGCATTTCACCTCAGAGAGTGTCCACACCAGCATTATTACTGCACTACGCTGTTGTCATTCATTCTGTGCCTGGATGTCATTGTTACTCTGGGATTTGGGGTGCAGCACTGTTAGTCTGAGCTCTGCTCTGCTGTCACCCTGCACACAGATGAGCTGATTAATCAAGCTGCACCCATATTACTCTTCCTGACCTGCAAAGTCCAGGAGAAATTACCGCCCTTATATTTATTTTCCCCATCCCCTCTCTTCATAACCAACAATCTCAGGGTTGTTAAGCTGCGGTCCCCATTTGCACCTCTTGATTAAGGGTTAGTGATGCAGTGATGCTGTCGTAATTTATTTCAGCCCCCTTGGCTGTGCGATCGTGAGAAATGCAAATAGAGAACATATTAGCTGAAGGTATGAAAGCTGCATGGGTGCCATCAAAAGAGATGAACGTCCTTGGACAAAGTCTCATAAGACAGAGGACTGCTGTGGTGTTAGGATGCATCTCAGTTTCGGAGGATTCCAAATAAAATGAAAGATTAAACTAATATTCTTTTTCTAATGTGTTGTGAATTTTAAAAATTAAGTTAAAAATTTAGATTTTTTGTTTGTTTGAAGGACAGATGATAATAATAGTGAGTAGGAGGAAGATAACTATATTTAAAATGAAAAAGGTGGGCATGTACAGGGTCTCCAAACACAAGAAGTTATCGTATCTGTGGCTTTCAGAGATTTACATCTTGCCACCAAATTGAGTGGAAATAACAAAAGATGATTTGTAAATGTAAATACTGTTAAAAACCTTAATATTTACTCTTTTTTGACACCTTTCTACAAATAATTCTTATGCTGTTTATCATATGTAAGAAAGCGTCATGAGACAGTGTTCTTACCTGGACTCTGCATGGTGGTGATGATGGTGGTGGTGGTGATGGTAGTGGTGGTTGTCTCTTCCTCATCACTGCCTGGCCTTACATCTTTTGCCCTTGCAGCGGTAGCAGCGGAGGGGATGACGGTAGAATGTTCTGGGTCTTTCAAAACTGTGCTGCTGACTGGAACATGGGTGTTGGAGTGAAAAGCGGCTGCTAATGCATGCATGGTAAGGGTTGCTTGCATGTTGGAGCTTTCAGCACTTTGATCTGAAGCTCCTTTATTGCTGTTATCTAGCGGAGTACCAGATGGCATTTTAGAGAAGGTGGATTGAGAATTGGGTCCTCCACTGTCTTCGAAGTAGTGTGACTGACCGTGAGGGCCAAGCGGGGCCTGGTGCTGGGGAGGGTTTCTGTAGAGTGGGTGGTGATTCGGTACATTAATGGGTGGAGCGGTAGTGATCATAGGGAGCCTTCTGCCTGTGTCCTGGGTGGTGGGGTACAGGTTTGCTCCGCTCTCTGGAGTGCCCCTCGGCGTGATAGATGGACTGTCCTCAGAAGCAGAGGCTGCACAGAATAAAAGAGAATTATAGATGTGGTTAGATGGATGTTGATTCATACCACAGTCATCACTTGGTCATCAGGGGGAGAGAATTCTAGCCTCACTTTTCTGCCTGTTCTCTGCTCTGGCTCTGAAACTCTCCATCCATAGCCATTAACACACTGCCAGTCCCACTGTCAATTGGTTAATGATGGAGAGTGATGTAGCAAGCAACCAGCCTGAGTCATAACACAATCTGCAAAAGCCTTCAAGCCAAGAGCACACGAGCACCTAAAGAAGCTGTGCTCCACATCTACTAATCTTAAACAGTTTCAACATGGTGACAAGACACTGTTTTAGTGAGCAGATTCTCTTTTTCCCAATTGCTTTTCTTTTTTGCCTTAAATGTACATTTAATGGAAAAACATTTCCTTTGAAATAATCATCACATTTTAACCTTACGCTGCTATTATTTTAGACTTTATGAAAACTAAACATTTCAAAAATAGGATTTCTTCTTAAATATGAATTTCAAACAAGGCTTTTTAAAAGGATTGTGTTTGGTCTTTATTTATTTCAACATGACCCAACTACCCAGTTTGCTTGTTGTATTCAACAGAAATACTACTTTACCTCTTACTGTGCTTATATCAAGATTTAATGAGTACAACTGTTTTATGCATTGCTGTACAGTACAGTTATAATGTAATTTATCATTCCAAAAAAATTAGTCCATTTATAAATCAAGTGCCTACCCCTCATAGAATATGTCATTTCTGTACCTTTCAATGTGACTTTCATGTTCACTTCAACTTCTATCTTAAGCTGTCTTTATTCATTCTTCACATGACTATTGATGTTCCTTTTCATGTGGTGCAACACTAGGAATGTCACTAAGAAGACACAAAGTGAAAGTATGCACTGTTACCCCTCTGTTTGATGGCCTGCTTTCTCTCCCACTTTTGAACGTGACCATTTTGAACAGTTACAAACCCCTTTGTAGATGTGTTTGGAGAACTAGTTTGTTTCAGGTGTACCAAGGCCTTCAAGCTACTAAGTGGCCTTCTAACTTGCCCATTCTTGTCATAATCTGTACGTTGTAGTCAGTATGTACATCGTATTGTCTTTAAGTACCAGTCACATGCAGAAACACCCAGCAGACTACACTACACAAAAAGACACACATGGCAGCTTCAGTGTTCTTTACCTTCAGCTCCAGACACCGATGAGTACTTGTTTACTAGAAAACAACCCGATCCCAGTTATCTGTGTGCCAAGTAGTTTAAGAACAATGACATGACATTTTATGACACAAAATGGAAGTAAACTAGATTTCAACCAAGTTGACTCTACCTTTAACATAGGGCCTCCAAATTATCTAATACACTGAACAAAAATATAAACGCCCCTTGTCAAATATTGTTGCCATGTGGAGTTAACAACTGTAAATGAACATTTGCTGACATTTTATTGTACAAAAGTAATATTTCTCGTTATTTGTGTATAAGTTTTAATCCAACTTGCTGTCAGTGAGCATTACTCAGTGAGTTGTTTTTTTACTCAGTGCATGGGTGGGGCATGTCCAGTGGGTGATCAGACAAAATGAGCAACAGCTGGACAATCCTTGGACTGGGGACAATAAAAGACCACCTCAAAATGTCAAATTTTGTCACAAGTCATAATACCTCAGATGTCGCAAGTTATGCGGGAGCGTGCCATTGGCATGTTGGATGCAGGGATGTCCACCAGAGCAGTAGCTGCACGGCTCAATGTCCATTATCGGACCATAGGCCGTTTAAGAGTTCGTTTCCAACAGACTGGCACAACCGCAAATCGACCTCATCCTCTTCGGCCACTTGTGACCACTCCATCTGCGGGATCGGCTAAGACCAGCGACACACACAGCTGATGAGACTACTGGTCTGCACAACAGACGCATCACACCTCAGACTGTCTGTAACCACCTACGAGAAGCCAACTTGCATGCTTGGCACCCTCACCGTGGTCTGGATCTCACTGCTGTCCGGCGTTGGAACCGACTCGCATGGGCGAATGCACATGTCCAATGGCCCTTGGCACGCTGGAGAAGAGTGATGCTCACGGATGAAGCCAGGTTCCAGTTTTATCATGCAGATGGAAGACAGCGTGTCTGGCGACACGTGGGTGAACAGTTTGCAGATGCAAATGTTATGCCCAGGGTTGCCCATGGAGGTGGTGGCATTATGGTGTGGTCAGGCATCCCATACGGGCATAGAACACCATTGCACTTCATTGAAGGGAACCGTAATGCACAAAGATATCGGGAAATTCTCACCCTAATTGTTGTGCCGTTTGTGCGCCAGCATGACATCACCTTTCAACATGACAATGCCCGACCTCATGTTGCCCACATCTGCATAGAATTCCTTCAAACAGAGGACACTGAAGTTCTGGACTGGCCTGCATATTCGCCAGACATGTCCCCAACAGAGCGTCTTTGGGATGTTCTGGATAGGCGTGTCCGGGACCGTGTTCCAGTTCCAGGCAATGTGGGTCAGCTCCGTGTGGCACTCCAGGAGGAATGGAATAACTTTCCACATGCCACCATAGACAATCTGATGCGAAGATGTGTTGCTCTGAGAGACGCAGCTGGTGGACACACAAGATACTGAAAAATCAAATTCCTCAACCTGACCCCTATCATGTTCAAAGGACTGTCAATCAGCTACAAATGGCCATACCAAAATGTTATCGATGCCGATATGAAGATCAGTAATTACTGAAAATATATTTTGGGTTTCTCTATATATTGCATAACCCAAATGTTCATAAAACTCTTATATTTGACATGGAGCATTTATTTTTTTGTTCAGTGTAGTTTAGAAACCACACCAAGGCCTAAACTTCGGTCCAAGATAAGACGCCCACTACGCCAACCTTCAGACAATTTCACAACAGTGGAGAAGAAATGAATTTTTCTTTCCAGGTACAACTGCTCTCTATGCCGCACTGTGCAAAACTCCATTTTACTGATTTAGTGTTGAATTCAGCCATCAGGTAAAAAAAGAAACTATAAGGAAAGACTAAAAGACTCTTTAAGGCCTCAGCTATATGTACTGAACAAGTCATTGCCAATGTAAAGTATTGTCACTGTAAGCCGTGCATGTGTGTAAATAATAGCTGTACTTTATATATGTACTGTATGACCACGTGTAGTCCAAGTTCGGTTCTCTACTCAGAAGAATAGACCACCGCATTTCAAAGATTTAATAGTTTTCAAATGCCTTGTCATTGATTTATCCCGCTTTTCAAAATAGAAGTTTTATTTCTTGGAGCTGCAGTGAATTGACAGCAGAAAGTATAACTTAGCCAGAGAATAAATCTGAAATTCACTCACCCTCTTTATCGCTCCCTGTTCACTGCTCTGCTTCACTGTACTTCAATCTGACATCAAGGCAGAGAGGACCTGTCTCATGTTTCTGGATGGAGACAGGATTCACTCACACAGCTCTGCACTCCCTAAAGCAAAGTCATTCTATCTTTCAAAGCTGATTTTTAGCCACATTTTCTTTCAGCACTTATTCATATGGAGCATGAGTGTTGTGAGTCAACTGACAGACTGGAAACTTCTTGTAAAAAGCCAAACTGTAGAACCCAAACAATTCTCATAAATTGCTCACATCAGTGGCTTCTTCCCTCCCCATCCTCCTCACAATAAGACTTAATATTCATTCCTGAGGAGATTTGATGAGCTACTATAATTCACCCACTATAATGATCCGTGCTCCCCTCCCAAGTGCACCTGTGAGATCTAATCTGAGACCCCTTCAGGAGGCTATCATCCACTGAAGGAAGTCTTATGTTTCCTTAACAATGCTTCATTTACACCATAATAGCTCTCACTCTCTGCCGGCTAATAGCTATCTGCTTCAAACAATCAGGCTTTATTGTAGCTGTTCCACTTCCCACCCAGCAGCTCGCTTGTCAAACACACACAGCTCTTTGCACACAATCAAGCACAAGAAAAATAAGGAATTAGTTAGAATCCCAAAATACTGACTGGAGGTCTCTTTTCATCTTGCTGCTACAGGCTGTAAAGGACAGTATATACACTATTTGCCTTATTTGACTCAAAGTAAATCACCTGTGTGTTTTGAACCTGACAGATGCTGCCAGGGGAGATGGTAATAGCAGATGGACTGCACTTATTTAGCACCTTTTTACTCTAATAGTTTAAAGTGCTTTACCAGTTTTTTGCCTCTCATTCGTCTACTTACATACCAGTGACAGTAGCGTTGCCATGCAGGGTGCTCGCCTGCCATCAGGAGCAACTTAGTGTCTTGCCCAAGGACACTTTAGCATGTGGGCAGAGGAGGCAGAAATTGAACTCCCAACCCTAAAATGAGCCACAATGAGCCACAGCTGCAACAGCTTTAAAAGGAGACAGCTTTAACAAGGCATATCTACTGTCAAGAGCGTGGGTTTACTTCAAAAAACAACAACACACATTAAACAGAGTTATCTCAGCCTAACAAAACATGACATCTCTGACTGTTTGGGTGCCTACGTACACATTTGTGTTCCACATGTGTGTACAATCAGCACAGTCATAAACTCACAAACACACCAAGATTTGTAGTTCGTAGCTCGTGTTGAGCTCCAAAAGATCCTGGACTCTGACAGTTTGTTACACTGAACTTCACCTAAATGCCCTCCTCGTGTTAAAA